TCTCTCTCTCTCTCTCTCTCTCTCTCTCTCTCTCTCTCTCTCTCTCTCTCTCTCTCTCTGTGTGTGTGTGTGTGTGTGTGTGTGTGTGTGTGTCCACCTTCGCTAGTAGCAGGAACACCAAGCAGTCCCTCCTCTCTCACCCCTCAAGTGCAGGTCGTTGTCAAAGAGCATGTTTGTGAATTTACTCACATGTGCACCTTGGGGAGTGCATTGCACTGCACTTTGTTTTCGCAATCCAGCAGTGACCAGGGTGTGAGTTATATTGTCTTGGTTGGTTTGTGATTGCTAACATCTGCGTCGCTTTTGCTATTGTTACTTTCCGCTTGGTTGGTGTTATACAGGGCTAGGAAGTATGAGGAAGCACTCCTGTCCTTTGGGACAGTACTTGGTCTCAACCCAGAACCGACAGAGGAAGGGGTCGCAAACTATAATGTGGCATGCTGCTATTCAAAGCTCAATCAGGTAGTTTGCCATGAATTAAAAAGATTAAACAACACTTGAGATTGCCGTCCTACAGTCTTTGCCCCCCTTCTGTCCCTCCATTCCAGCTACTCTGTGGCTGTGTGTGTGTATCAACAAAATTTTGCCCAAAAAGGCCCCAAATTCAAAATACAAACTGAAGAGGGGTGTGCATGGGTGGTGGGTGGGTGTGTGCATGGGTGGGTCGGTTGGTCTGTGTGTGTGTGTGTGTGTGTGTGTGTGTGTGTGTGTGTGTGTGCATGCTGTTATGTTCGCTATACAGAACTCCACAAAAAAGCATGACTGCACCATACCGTTTCTTCAGACTTTCACCGACTTGTTGTGTGTATGTATGTGTATGTTGTCATGTTCGTTGTACACAAACTCCACAAAAAAAGCAGGACTGTGCCAGACCTTTTTTTGTGTGTGTGTGTGCGTGTGTGTGTGAAAGTGTGTACGTGCACATGCATGTGTGTGTCTCTGTGCATTGTCTATTTGGTTGTGCTCGATGGTTGCAATAACCATGTTTGTTTACAATTTACCAGTAAATCTTAACAGATGTGGCTATTATGCTGAGGGTATAGTCACACCATCTTTTCCTGGATGTACAGTCCTTATGCCAACATAATGACTCACTCAGGTTTTTATCAAAATAGTCCTTGTCCAGCAAGTTGACGTCAGAGGAGTTATGGTGCCATCTCCCCTTCTCCCCCCCCCCCCCCCCCAATGCCACTGCTCCCTTTTATTCTTGGAATCAACACCCTTTTTCCAGGAAGGTATGGTTCCTTCTTCCCTTCGCCATCCAATTCAAGCACTCCATTCAAAAATTTCAAACTTTGTTTTGGTCTTTCAAAGTCCCAAAATAGCCGATGCATTATCTATTTTTTCTTCTCATTATGCTTCCATCACTTTACTACATCCTTCTCGCTGTGAGAGTATAGTCCGGTTCGCCTTGCTGCTGTTGTTGTGTTTCAACTTTCAACTTTCGACTTTCAACTTTCAACTTTCAACTTTCAACTTTCAACTTTCAACTTTCAACTTTCAATTTGATAGCACATCCTTTTCGCTGATTTTGTTTCATAGCTGACATCTGTGCGATCTTTCGGTTCCTCGCATCGCCCCCCTGTGCATTTCCTTCAGATTGACCAAGCTCTCAATGCTCTGGATGGTGCCATGGCTGCTGGATTTGAAGACTACAAGGTAACGAAGTACTCCCAAGGAGAACATCAACTGTTTTATTTATCCATCTTTCATGTTTCATGTTTCATGTTTCATTTATAGATAGTTCCGTATTCTCGTTTTTTAAGGGTTTTTTTTTGTGATTAGGATGTTTCGGCCTTATCCTTCCAGAGGCTGTCAAAAGTTTGTAAAACAGACATGATCCTGTGACTGGGACTGGCTTAGGAAAACCAGTGGGCCCAACGTAGCTGGTACACCCATGGAGTGCCGAAATTGAATGAATACAATGAAGTCACATGGACTTCGAAGGGAACTACATGAATTCCCATGGGACTACATGAAATACAATGGAACTCAGCTGACATCGAATTCCAATGGAACTACATGAATATCGGCCTCTATGTTTCATACAAGTATGTTGCGAATAGCCAGGCTCGCCAGAGCTGGGACATTTCAGGAAGTGTGCTTCACACACTGTTTCTAGAATAGTACGCATTACCTCAACACTTTGTGTCCAGGGAGATGTACGAATTGCTGCACTTACACTGAAACAGAATAAAATAAATCTAAATGATTCTTAATTACCTGGGGACGGTAAATTTCAATGATGACATCTGAAGGCCATCGCCGTTTTTTTTCTTTCTTTTTTTTTAGTACTGCGGCTACTGCCATGTGAACAACGTAATTGCTCATGCCTGTTTGCTGGATGTGTAGAAGCGTTCTGTAATAACACGAAGGAGAAAGTGTTCGTTCCAGAGTAAAAAAAATAAAGGGAAACCCGGAAAAGCGATCCAGAATATATAGGGGGAGAACTTTCAGGAAAGAAAATAATCATGGAAAGAAAAAACTACAAAAAGTTGAAATGACACCCTGGCCCTGTGTTAGACAGAATGTAGTTGGTCATCTCCGCTGTTGAGGTGTAGGTCATGCAGGTACATTCTATTATTTCAAAATTTCTCCGAGGAGCAGCGAGTTTTTTTCTTTTGTTATTACACACTCCTCTCTCCTCTACATGTCCGGTAGAAAGCACAAAAAGAAAAGAGAATCATTCAAACACTGATGCAAATGCAATCAGACTCGTCTTCTTTCTCACTCAGCATGCATGGAAACAGATGGCAATCACATTGGCGCCAGGTGCCCACACAAAGCTCAGAGATATCACGGCCGAGAACACAGTTCAGATACAAACTTGCCTCGAATGGCTATGGCGCCTGTACGCCCTCACTTCACCCTTCCAACACTGTATCTTCAACAACTGTTCACACGTATGCCTCCCTGGATCTCCCTGGATGTCCCACGCACGCACACAACTCGCTGAACACTCACACACATACACGTTATAGTCTATGTCTAACCTAGCGCAGCTCTGACTGCTTTCTACCTCTACCACCAACTAGCGGCTATGGCCGCTTCATCTCCCTTTCAGCCCACTGCCGGGCACCTGCAGACCTCCTTGCACAAGTCGCTTAGGCAGCGCTTCCGCACGGCTCACAGTCTGAATGAATGAATAACTGGACACTGCCTCTTGATTTATACTTCGGTTGGTCGCTGGTCTGCTTCTTTCCACCGGGCCTAGGGTGCACACAGTCCCACATGGTACTTGCTGACCAGACAAAGTGCGACTGGGACTGGGTACCGCTGACTAGACAAGGTTGGACTAACCACTTGCCCACTTGCCTCTAGCCTAACCTGAGTAATTCTCGAAAGGCCACTTCCAGACCTTCCGGAAGTCTGTAGACTTGGCCTTTCGGGACTGTAGCAGC